CATCAAACATGCATTAAATGTAGCTGGCCTCCAATTAAAACAATTAAGTTGGGGGTCTGGAGTCCCCAGACACCATCTTGCATTATGTTAAGCGGTTTTGGCAGTTTAAAGTTACATTTTATTTCCACAAGTCACAATGCTTCCTCCGTCTGGCCAAACAGTCGCTCTGCTAGAGAGCACTGGCTTGGTGGCCTTACTATAATTAATGAAGTTCAGAGTTTAGTGATTAAACTTTTATGAGCCAAGTAAACAGCCTCTTTCAGAAGACAGAACATGTTTAGGTGTGCTGGGAAACAACTACATTTGATATAATCAAAATTAAATATAATGCATTTTAATTCCAAATAGTCAAGGGCAAAAAATAAGTTGTCAGCCTTGCATGTTGCAGTGACAGTAAACCCATAATCCAAAAGCAATTGGCAAAACTCTATAAGAGTGCTTGAAATCTGTATTGGCAAAAAATAAAACACTCCAATGAGAAGGTTGTCAAGTCCATATATAACCATTAGTACTGAGTTAACAATTCTTATGACAAATTATTCTAGTGCAAAAGGTGACCGTAACGTGTCTACAGGGTGTCAGGCACCAGTTATAGCCAATACCAAGGACTGGAGAGTGCTGCTAAGCCAGTCCTATTTCCAAATACCACTGGACTCAAGGGCACCTCTTTGCTCCATTTAGGCTCCTTAAATATTTTGGATGAAATAACTAAGTGCATCAATCTGTATGCAGAGGAGAGAAAAATACCAGGCTTGTAAAAAGTGAACTGAACAAGAAGTTACAGGTTGTAGGATGTTAACGTTACCAATAAAATAAGTGTCCAATATAGCGGTGGACAGTCTGTTTCAGCTAAATCATCTAGACTTTTGCACAAATTAGTTTCAGCTGCTACAAATCAAGTGCCTTTTAATATACACCTGAACTAATGTTCTGGGATTTACCTGTGGATCGTATTCAATGAGCAAGTCTCTGTAGGTAAATACTGGACGGATTGATTAATTCAGGCGCAGATAAAAGAGGGATATCTGGTTGTAGCAACTGAAATTCATTTGTGCACAAATATAACAGTGTAAAAGCAAGACTTTTTACGGTAGAAGTACAAGCTTAAAATAATTGAACAGATCTGTAAGTGCTTTTGTGTCATAGTTGCAGGATTGGCACACGTGTCTTTCGCATAGAGACAAAGTTATTGTGATCAGACAGGCCAAGAAACGGAAGGTGACTTCCTACTTGAACCCTCAGTGCATCTGAGGTTTGGCAACTAATCATGTGACGGAATGGGTAGACAGGAATAACTAGGACACACGTCACTGCCTGGGGTCAGAAGGGGGCAGCAGTGTATGATTTCAATGTCACCCAATTCAGAGGACTGCAAAGCACACAGATATAAAGAGAAATCAGACTGCACGGGGAGGAAAATGCACGGTGCTACAGACCTGCCATCAGGCCACAACCATTCTATACATATTAAAACCAAGCACGAACCCTTTCAGTGTGACTCGTGTCACAGAACTCCATATCTTTAATATAAAGAGTTCTTACACGAGCCTTAAAATTAGGAAGGCGAAAAGGCAGATCCAGAGCTTCCTGGGAACTACAGCTTCCACAAATCTTTTTGGGTGCAGTATTTCAGCTAGAGTTCCATTTTTAGCCACCCCTTGCCCTAAAACTACAGGTGCACACAGATTCTCCTGCAGCAATACTAAAATCTGATCTGGCCATTGACTGCCAGCTATCAGAGCCATTACCAAAGAGTTCAGCCCAACACAAACATGCTAACAGACTGCTCATTCATGCTCACACACCAGCCAAGAACTACAGCTCCAAAAACAAAAAAGTGAGAAGGTACAGAAATGGGACAGGAGGCCAAAAGCAGTGCTCCTAGCAGCTCCAGCCCCTGTAAGCAGTGGATTGGTGTTACATGTATTCGTAAACAAATGGGTGTTTGATCAGAGTTTGTGTTCTGTTACATGATGGTTTGAACTTATCACAAACAAATGCTAAGAGTCTCTGCATAGGAAGATTGTCAACCATCAATAGAAGCACTTGGAAAAACAAGCAGCTGTGGTCAAAAGCGACCTCTCGAAGAAATTGAGGATTTGTATTCTATGGAACCCAATGAATTTCAGCAGCAGGCTGTATGAAATGCTTGGACTACAATACATTAAAGGATCACTATAGGGTCAGGAACACAAACATGTATTCCTGACCCTATAGTGTTAAAACCACCATCTAGCCCCACTGGGCCCCTCTTGCCTCCATAAATATAGCAAAGTCTTATTGTATTCAAGCTAGAAGCTGTAACTCTGCAGGTTTGTCTCAGGAAAGCAAGCAGTCTGCTGACATCAGAAGTGGTAGCCTGATCCAATCACAGTGCTTCCCCATAGGATTGGCTGAGAGGCAGATCAGGGGCAGAGCCAGCATGATTCAAACACTGCCCTGGCCAATCAGCATCTCCTCAGAAATTCATTGAATTAACCCCTTAAGGACTGGACTGTTTTTGCGATGTTGTACATTTGCGACCAGGCATATTTTTACACTTTTGTGGTGTTTGGCTGTAATTTTCCGCTTTCTCATTTACTGTTCCCATACAAAATTATATATTGTTTTTTTCAGGACAAAAGGGGATTTCTTTACATACCATTATTTATATAATCTCATGTATTTTAATTTAAAAAAAATAAAATAAAATCTGATGAAAAATTGAAAAAAATACGTTTTTTGAAAAAAAACTGCTAAATAGATTCAAAATTTTGTCCTGAGTTTAAAAATACCTAGTGTTTACGTGCTTTTTTGCATGTTATAGGGCTATAGGTACAAGTAGGATATTGCGGTTTCAAAACATACATTTTTAAAATTTATCAATAGTGACATTGTAACACTATTATCTGTCATAAATCTCTGAATAACACCCCACATGTACATATTTTTTTTAAAGTAGACAACCCAGGGTATTCAATATGGGGTATGTCCAGTCTTTTTTAGTAGCCACTTAGTCGAAAACACTGGCCAAAGTAAGCATTCATATTTGTTTGTGTGTGAAAAAAGTAAAAAAACTAAATTGAACGCTAATTTTGGCCAGTGTTTGTGACCAAGTGGTTACTAAAAAAGACTGGACATACCCCATTTGCAATACCTTGGGTTGTCTTCTTTTGCAAATGGTATGCCATCATGGGGTAATTCTCATTCCTGGGCTACCATACGCTCTCAAAGGCAACGTAACCAACCTGGCCATTTTCAATGTAAAAATATTTGACCCATATATTTGACCTTGTAACTTTCAAAAATGCTATAAAACCTGTACATGGGGGGTACTGTTTTACTCGGGAGACATCGCTGAACACAAATATTAGTGTTTAAAAACTGGAAAACGTATCACAACAATTATATCATCAGTAAAAGTGCTGTTTGTGTGTGAAAAATGCAAAAAAAAGTAACTTTCACTGACAATATCATCGCTGTGATATGTTTTACTGTTTTGAATCACTAATATTTGTGTTCAGCGAAGTCTCCCGAGTAAAACAGTACCCCCCATGTACAGGTTTTAGGGTGTCGTAGAACGTTACAGGGTAAAATACAGTGCTAGCAAATTAAATTCTCTGGAATTTCGACCTGGGTTGGCAGGCAGGTCCCTCAAATTGCAATCAATAAAATTACTGAATTATGTAAAAATATTACATAAATACGCATGTAGAATTGAAATATATATGCATATTTATATATTTGAAGTCTACGTGTATATTTATATAATTTTGTATATGGACATGTATATTTCTTATTTTTATTTATTTTTATATACATAGATATATATACAAATTCATTCTAAGTGTATTTTGATATAAATATATATTAAAATTAATACAGTTAGAATAAAATGTCATATAGCTATATAATTTTTTTTAAATTTTTTATTTAAAAAAAAATTTAAGTTACTTATTTATATTTTATAATAATATATATATATAGTTAATATATATTATATATACACACATGTGTAATTTAATTATAAGTGTATTTTTATATTAATATAAGTACATATTAATATAAAAATACACTTAGTATGACATATATATGATATATAGACATTATATAGATATAATATATGTCTATATATCATATATACACATATACAAGTATTTTTTTTTTTTATTAACACTAACTTTATTTTTATTTTTTTTACTGATTTTACAGTTGCAGGGAGACTGCCTGTCAGCACAGACAGCCCCCCTGCAGGCAGACACATGGACACCTATTGTGACCATGTGATCGCTGTGTTAAGCGATCACATGGCCACAGGGGTCCTAATTCAGTGAGGGGAGACTGTCTGGGCTGCAGGCAGTCTCCCCACAACCGGAGCCACGCTGATCGCCGCCGGGGGAACGACGGCGATCAGGTAATTAGCTCAGACCGTTAGGACGGTTCAGGACCGTCATCGGTCGGCAAACCAAAAATGCCGATGACGGTCCTGAACCGTCCTGGGTCGGGAAGGGGTTAATGAATCTGAGGAAAATTCAGTGTCTGCATGCAGAGGGAGGAGACAATGTTTGGAGGCATTTTAGGCAGCCATGACCCAGGAAGGATCTCTAACAGCTATCGAGGAGTGGCCAGTGAGGTAATCACTACAAGTAATGTAAACACTGCATTTTCTCTGAAAAGACAGTGTTTACAGCAAAAAGCCTGAAGGTAATGATTCTACTCACCAGAACAAATTCAATAGGCTGTAGTTCTGGTGAACATAGTGTCCCTTTAAGGAGGTTAATCTGATGTTAATGGAGAAAGGGATTTTCAGTATTTATAGACTAATAGATTTCCCAAACATAGAATGACTGGTGTACTTTCCCTCACTATAGAAAATTGGTTTACATTTTCACTGCGATAAGGTGTGCAGTGATGGCAGATATAGAATACTAGCTGCTCACTTATGAAGGTTTGTGGCACCCCACGAGCTCTTGCAGACAGTAGGGAGATATTTGGAACATGCACTGGAGGTCAACTGGTGCCGGTGTTCTATCAGTCTGCTATACTCCGTCAGATTGCTATACCCCCGTCACTTCCGGGGAGGGGAATCAGCTGGATCCTGTGCTGCACATGCGTGCTAGCACTCCTGCTACTCCTCCACAGCAAGGTCCTGGAAGGTAAGTCAAACTAGTTTTACACTTTCATTATAGTTAGTGCATTCACTAAGCTTAGGCACACAGGACATTTAGGGTTAAGTGAGGGTACAAATTAGGGTTAGGTAAGGGATTCTATCCTCTCACACTATTCTTACCCTAACCCTTGGGGTAAGGGTTAAAATAAAGTGTGATAAAGCACAATTCAGTGATATTCCCCTAATGTGAAATATCACTAAATATGAACAAGTCCCTAATCCTAACCCTAATTTGAACCCTAACATTAACCCTAAATTTCCCATGTCCTAAGCTTAGTGAATGCACCAGCTATAATGAAAGTGTAAAACTAGTTTTACTTACCTTCCAGGACCTTGCTGTGGAGTAGTAGCAGGAGTGCTAGCACGCATGTGCAGCACAGGATCCAGCTGATTCCCCTCCCTGGAAGTGACGGGGTATAGCAGACTGATAGAACACCGGCCCAAACCCAAATGTAATGAAAACATGAAGTTTGTTAAAAGCACAATAGGAAATTTAAAATTGGATTGCCATCACCTCCCAAATGAGAGCACGTATTACGTGAAGCAACATTTACAGTTTATTAAACGTGTGATGCGTCACAGTAAATACTTTGGATCCTAGAACAGATTTTCATCATGTTAAAAGGATTTTCATTATCTGCATTAACAAGACTGTTAAGTGTGCAATCACTGTTTTTCCATATCAGAGTAAGTTTATAGAACATAAGACTGTTTAAGTGTCCCAACCTGCAAGGCCAAGAGTCCCAAAGCATGGGACTACTGTAAAGATTCAGCTCAGATTGAGAACAGTAAGCAACGGATTTCAATCCTAGTCCCTCTTGGTACAGCACTGTACCCTCAGGGTTTGTTGTACAAGACACTGTCAGATTACCAGTCCCTGGTTATAGTTCTCACTTAAGAATTTTTTTTATCACAGCCCACTCTAGTACAAAAAGTTATTGATACATGACAAACTATGCATAGTAACAGAACAAGTTGCCTGCTGGAAATTGAACCGAAAGTCTGCCCTTTGGTGGCAAATTAATGTAATACAGCAGGAGAGGGCGGGGCCGGACCGCCAAGCTGGAAGGCAGCATGGCAGCTCAGCTCCTACAAACTAAATAGCCTCAAAACGACGATTTTTAACTATACCAAGGACTGCCAGCACCTGTCCTCAGTGTACAGGGGACACTGGATCCAGTGAGAGGCTGGCTCCCCAAGCTACAGTCCCCAGGAGAAGAGACCCTTGATGCCCTAATTGGGGCCTACTCCGGCGGTGAGTATGGCAGATGGCCGCTGCTCCACTATCCTGCCAAACTGACCCGACCAGAAGACAGCAACCGTGTGGATCTGGCCCTGTCCCCTGCTGCCCCCTCGGGACCAGTAGGGGTGATCCCAGTCCGCACCCTGGGACCCAGACCGAAACAGCGCAACCCGGGACCAGCAACATTACCACCCAGCCTCAACTAAAATGGTGGCTGATAGAAGCGCCGAGGCCAGAGGGAGGGCATGCCTTCTCCCCGAGCCCAAAGGGAGCCACGAGACCTCCAGGAACAAGCTGGTCCGATGTCTATTATGGCAAGCAACAAGCAAAAACACCCAAGCAAAGAAAGGCTAACCACTCACAGCCACCCCTGGTGAGGCCGCACCGCCAACTAATGACCAACCTACATCTGGACTGCAATAAACTCATAGGGGGCACCGATAATGCAGAGACTCATATGACCTACATGCGACAACGCTACTTTACCCTCTTACCGGCATTGAGCTCCAAAGCAACAGTCTCTCCACCAAGCTGCAAAGCAGAATGGGCGAACAACATCCACAAGGCTGCAAGCGAATGGGCACAACAATGCTCCACAACCCACTGGATAATCCGGCGTCCCCACTACTACTCCTACCAGAGCAACTGGCGGAACATGAACATGACTGCAACCTTGAATACCAGCGGCAAGAATAAAACGTTGTCTAAATATAAGAGACTGCCAACATAAAGGGAGTGCTTAGTAACTCAGTCGTTTTTACCAGCTACTAGTCAGGAATATGGGGAAACTGCACTTAACTAGCCAATACTGTTGAGTCTCTCTCGGGAGGTGGGAGGCATAGCGAGTTGATCTGGGTCCAGGGAAGCGATTGTAACCAACTGCTTAAAGGACCACTATAGTGCCAGGAAAAAACTTTTTCCTAGCACTATAGTGCCCTGAGGGTGCCCCCACCCTCAGGGTCCCCCTCCCGCCCAGCTCTGGGGAGAGGAAGGGGTTAAAACTTACCTTTTTCCAGCGCTGGGCGGGGAGCTCTCCTCCTCTCCTCCCTTTCGGCTGAATGCGCACGCGTGGCAAGAGCTGCGCGTGCATTCAGCCGGTCTCATAGGAAAGCATTCATAATGCTTTCCTATGGACGCTTGCATGTTCTCACTGATTTTCACAGTGAGAATCACGCAAGCGCCTCTAGCGGCTGTCAATGACAGCCACTAGAGGATTTGGAGGCTGGATTAACCCTAACATAAACATCGCAGTTTCTCTGAAACTACTATGTTTATTTAAAAAAGCATTAACCCTAGCTGGACCTGGCACCCAGACCATTTCATTAAGCTGAAGTGGTCTCGGTGCCTAGAGTGGTCTTTTAACTACTGAAGCACCACATATGGCAAGGCACAATGTTGATGTATAGCAGTGATGGCGAACCTATGGCACGCGTGCCACATGTGGCACGCCGGGCCCTTTCTGTGGGCACGCGCCACAGGTTCGCCATCAATGCAGAGAAGGCGCCTGCCTGCCCAAAACGGCAGGCGCCTACTCTGCTTCCCTCAGGAGCAGGGGGAGGCTCTAGGAGGCAGCTCCCCTGTCCTCCCGCGCGATGCTGTGTGGAGCGCTGCCGCGCAAGCCATGGCAACGCCCACACAGCATTGCGCTGCGGAGGACAGGGGAGCTGCTTCCTGGAGCCCTCCCCCTGCAGTGCTTACCACCACCGGACCACCAGGGATCGCTGTGTCCCCCCCACTTCATTAAAGGTAAGAAGGAGGGAGGGGGGTATACTGACACAGCACCCCTACCCCCCCAGCAGTAACCCTCACCTGCAGAAAGTACCCCCCTACCCCCAGCAGTAACCCCTACCCCCAGCAGCACCCCCTACCCCCCAGCAGCACCCCCTACCCCCCAGCAGCACCCCTACCCCCCAGCAGTAACCCCTACCAGCAGTAACCCCCTACCCCTCCCAGCAGTAACCCCTACCCTCCCCAGCAGTAACCCCCACCCTCCCAGCAGCACCCCTACCCCCAGCAGTAACCCCCACTCCCCAGCAGCAACCCCCTACCCCCCTCAGCAGTCTGTGTGTGTGTGTGTACTCAGCAGTGTGTGTGTGTGTGTGTACTCAGCAGTCTGTGTGTGTGTGTACTCAGCAGTCTCTGTGTGTGTGTGTACGTGTTCTCAGCAGTCTCTGTGTGTGTGTGTACGTGTTCTCAGCAGTCTCTGTGTGTGTGTTCTCAGCAGTCTCTGTGTGTGTGTGTGTTCTCAGCAGTCTCTGTGTGTGTGTTCTCAGCAGTCTCTGTGTGTGTGTGTACTCAGCAGTCTGTGTGTGTGTGTACTCAGCAGTCTGTGTGTGTGTGTACTCAGCAGTGTGTGTGTGTGTGTGTGCAGCAGTCTGTGTGTGTGTGTACTCAGCAGTCTGTGTGTGTGTACTCAGCAGTCTGTGTGTGTGTACTCAGCAGTTGTGTGTGTGTGTGTACTCAGCAGTCTGTGTGTGTGTGTACTGTGCAGTCTGTGTGTGTGTACTCAGCAGTCTGTGTGTGTGTACTCAGCAGTCTGTGTGTGTGTACTCAGCAGTCTGTGTGTGTGTACTCAGCAGTCTGTGTGTGTGTACTCAGCAGTCTGTGTGTGTGTACTCAGCAGTCTGTGTGTGTGTACTCAGCAGTCTGTCTGTATGTGTATTCATCAGTCTCTGTATTCAGCAGTCTTGTGTGTGGGTATTCAGCAGACTGTGTATGTATTCAGCAGTCTGTGTGTATGTATTCAGCAGTCTGTGTGTGTATGTATTGCATTTGTTGGAGATACTAATAAATATAAGCTTAATTTTATCTATTTATATCATTATTTAAAATTTGTATCATTGAACTCTCTGTGTTCTTTTAAAACAAAAGTTATTAGTTCGGACAACAGTACGAGTTGTTTTTTTCTAAACTTAAACCTCAGTATTTGGGTTTAATTGCCGTGTTGGCACTTTAAGGAGAAAAAATGTTGGCATGTATTGCGGTTTGGGCACTCGGGCTCAAAAAGGTTCGCCATCACTGATGTATAGGCTCCATCTCATTAATAGAGTTACTTGTTAAACCTAGCCTGATTCAATTAACGTTGACAGAACCCTATTACTTCGCCTCTGTTCAGTTTTTATATGCCATAGCCTGGTCTTAGCCTGTATTTAAATAAGCAACTGAGTAATCGTTCTATCCTAGCCTGCAATACCAACCAGTACAGGGTATCTATGCCAATCACACTGTCATTGACACTGCCTCAGCACTGCCCTGCTAATCCTGTTGTATCACTTTAGGCAATCCTCTACGTCACTTGACGTTTAAAAACAAAAATATGGCAGTCTTAGGAGTATTGCATACCATCTTGTAATCATTAACTTGTTACCCCAAAATGCCTCCTCTTTCTATTCTGTACCCCATAATGCATATGCCATAATAAAAATGCAAAATTTAATATAATACAGCAATGACTGAGTGCAAAGCCATGAAATGCCCCCCTCCTTTCATCAAAGTTACAATTAGAACAGAAATAAGCATTTTTATAAATTACACAGCCAGAAGAGTTTCCCGACTGAATTGCAGTTCAAAGAGGAAGCACATGCTTTTTAGATAAATGCATTTGTTTCAAGGTTTCTATATGAGAAGCACTATTGGAAGATCAATACTATTGATGTTCATGTGCCATGCAATCCAGTGCCTATAAGAAGCATCTTTATGGACACAAGTAATCTGAACGGAAATTCAGCAAGGGCAAATCAGACTACATGGGCTGGAATAAAGGGGAGTTTAGTAGCCTTTAGTGCCGAAGGGTGTGTACTGCAATAAACAGATGAGGAAAATCCAGT